CAAACAAACAAACAAACAAACAAACAAACAAACAAACAAACAAACAAACAAACAAACAAACAAACAAACAAACGAATGAATGTGGGCAACTGCACTGGCTGCTAGCTTAGTCATAAAAATTAAAACAATTTTACTTAATAAGTATTTGCATTTCATGTATTATATTATTGCATTTGGTCTGCAGCCCTCAGATTGATTTTAATTTCGGCCCTCTCAGGGAAAATGTTCTTTTTAATTTTGGTCCTCTCAGGGAAAATGTTTGGGCACCCCTGCTTCAGACCCTCCTTCAAGAAAAGCGGAGCGATTCCACATCACCTGCTGGAGCATCAGCAGCAGCACTAACGCGCCCAAAATGGAGAGGGAATACACACCCATGGCCTTATTTAAAAGACTTATTAAGGTTAAATGGTAAAAAAAAAACTTGCTGAGATTTGATAAAGGACGTTGATGGCGAATTCACAGCTTCTGTAGCTGTTGCAACAATTTCTGATGATGCACACAATCACAAGATCAAGTGTGAACAGTGTCACAGAGCGTAAACACAAAAACATTTAGTATCTGCAGCACTGCTCACTAAAAAGGCACACCATTGATGTATTCAAACTATACATACAGTAGACACACTTCATCATATTGTAGATCATTAGCAAATACATTAAGCAAGTACTTTTACTTTTAATACTTTAAGTATTTTTAAAAGCAAGTACTCACTTACTTTAACTCAAGTAAAAATGTCAATGTGGTACTTTTACTTTTACTAGAATACATTTTTGTCTGTTTATCTGTACTTTAACTTAAGTACAGTGTTTGAGTACTTTCTCTACCATAGACTATCCCACCCAKTATTTACCTCTGTGACATCATGGAGAATCTGAGATGGTATCCAGAAAGGGCARCAGTCCACAGCCGACCCTATTTCATGAACAACAACTGGATCTGTCACAAATTATTATTTGTATTTTTTCCGCTATAAATTAATATAATTCCTAATTAGTGTGAATGTTGTTCAACAACAAAGTAAAACAGATATAACATCACATAAGACACATAATACAGTACACAAGGAAATATTCTCCCCTTTGCTGGCAGCCCTCTGCTCCACGTGTGTGGAAAAGGCAGAGAATATAACCCCCCACTGGGAAGTAACAGAGCATGTTTTGTYGGGGACAAAGCTCAGCTACTGTCACATCAAACTTTAGCTGAAAATATATAAAAYGGACCGAGTTAGGGCCATTTTTGTCTCATTAGGTCAGTTGGCTGTGGTGGCCATTGAATCAGGCTGACTCAAAAGTTAGATGAGATGGACATTCAATCTTTCTGAAAGTTTTATTAAATACTGTCCAGTGGTTAAAATTACTGTAATGTTTAATGATATTTGTTCTGCCTAAATATTTTCATTACAAGCAGATGTGTCAAAGTTTCAGTCTTAACTTTGCTCTGCAGGAACAGACGTTTGTTCCGTTTAAGGCTAAAAATTGATTAAAATATCATCACTTCTCTTTTCTTTTCAACACATACAGCTTCCTTTCTGGGGGCGGTTAGTAACAGCAGACATTTGACCTTGCTCAGTCTCAGAAACATCTGCAMAAAGTAATCAGGCAGCTGCTCTCAGGGAGGCTGTGGTAGGACTGTTGGTGGTGCTGCTGAGAGAGTGTCGTGGTGAGCTGAGTGTTTTTTATTAGGACAGTTATAAAACTGTTGAATATATTGTGGGGTCTAAAAAACAGTGGGCCTCATGCAAGAACCGTTCGTACAAACAGATTTGTTCTGAAGTTGTGTTTACAAGTGATTT